ACACACACACACACACACACACACACACACACACACACACACACACACACACACACACACACACACACACACACAGTTTCACCAGTTGTTTAAACAGCCCACTGACCCCTCATAACCTGCAGTCTGTGGACAGGAGGATGAGTAGGCTTTGCTTGGCTGTAAAAGGTCTAAAGCCACAAAGCTTGGAAACGACTTTTCTGCACCATCTGTTGTCATAACCTGCTCGCCATCGTGTGTGCCTCCTTCTGTCCCTCTCAGACCGAATCGCCCAGAACAGGAAGACTATCGTATGCCCGATGATTGATGTCATCGACCACGACAACTTTGGCTATGAAACACAGGCGGGCGACGCCATGCGAGGGGCGTTTGACTGGGAAATGTATTACAAGCGGATCCCGATCCCCACAGAGCTGCAAAAGGATGACCCCAGTGAACCCTTTGAGTGAGTGACTCTGATACTTGGTTAGGGATTTTTTTTTTTTTTTATACCCATTATCTGATTGTGCCATGACTAAATGCATGCATCTGTTCCATGGGTGGCCCCAGTGGGACTTAGACAAACCCAGTTGAAAAGCTTTGAGCTGTGCACCTCTGAATGATTTACACCACACCGTATTTATTCACTGAAGGTCTTTGTCGGCACTGCTATGCTCATACACGCGTTTACACCCGAGTGTTGCATAGGATGGATACTAAAGCACTCGACTACTGCCCCATTAAGCTGCAAAACGTGAAAATGAATTCCATTTCCAAAGTGGATAAATGCCAAAATCCCAGTCTTACATTCCAGAGTGTACAGAGAAATGGAAGCTTTCTCGGATTTCAATGAACGAGTGTGGCGGTGAAGTGAAGCTGCCAGCTTGCTGTCTTAAATGTTGTCTCTGATTTTTAATGCCAGTACAATATCTATATCAAAAGCTATGTCATTATAAAAGACTGATTATGTTGCAGCCCTGAACTATGACTTACTTGGTTTTTCTTATCAGGTAGGGTTTATGAGTGGGAAAAGAGCGACATTCAGCTATTTTTATATTATTTTGCTACTTCAGTTAGGGCAGAGCTCTTCAAGGAATTACTTAACCTTTACTTTTAGCTGCTATTGTATTAGCTTTTATGCAGCAATAGCTTAAAAACAGATCTATGTAGATCTGTGAGTTCTAGAGTTAAAACAATTTAGAGATCGGTGGATATTTAGGTCATTTCACAGTCACCTCATGTTTTATACAGCATGACAATTCCAAAAAATGCAGTTTGTCAAATGGCCTCAAACTAAGTCAAACTCTAGCTAATAAGACGAAACTTTATAAAAATGAAATAGGAAGTGATTCATTTATTTATTTTTCTAACTCAGCCATATAGAGATATTGAGAGACGGGTGCCTTCGCTGGGCTGCAGCTCAGCTTATTCCAGTCACCAGGTCCACTTCCAACAAACACAGTTGGAAGTGGACCTTCCAACTGCGTTTGTGCTATTTGGAGCATTTGTAATGCAGTTGTCTGGCAAATCATGTGGCTCACTGTGTGGTTAATTGTACTAAAAACCCACTGAAAATGTCTGTGCTTCAGGTTTGGTGAGTGAAATTCTACCCAATTATTTGTACCTGCAGTAATTAGCAGGTATTGGTGTCTGTGTTGGACCCATGTGGTGCCTGGGTGCTCTTTGCACTAATTGACATTGCTAGCTTAGATGATAACTGGCACTTGACTAGGGCTGGGCCATATCATACTGTTCACGGTAATACCGGTATAATGTTGGGCAAAGATAAGAAAATGAAATATCGCGATAGAATATGGGTAAAACGCGCAGGCGCAGTTCCTTTGTTTTCATACGCACATGGCGGAAAAAGCATGGCGGCGATGGAGAATGAGAAGGGCGAAAGTGGATCATTGAATGAAACTGATGAACCAGAACTGGTTTGTAAAAATGCTGCAACTTCAGTGGTGTGGAACTGGTTTAGCTTTCGTCCGTCAGATACACAACAAAGCACTATTTTTGGTAGAGCATGCTAGCGGCCCGTTGTTGTTACCGTATTTTTCTTTTTTGAAAATACGGCGCACTTAAATTCAATCCTTTAATTTTTCTGAAAATCGACAGTGCCCCTTATAATCCCGTGTGCCTTATGTATGACTTCTGGTTGTGTTTACTGACCTCGAAACTATTTTATGTGGTACAAATCTGTCAAATGTTTTAGTAGGACTTTGCTAATCTACGAAGCCGCACCGCGGCGTAATTGTCGGAGCATTACGGCTATCATAGGCAGGCGCCTCGCGGAGTGATACGTACTGTGCTTCAACATAATATTACCGTATTGTGTGTGTATAACGTCTTGAGTTTTGTGGATATTCTACATGGTTATGCTGAGGATATGTTGGCCAGTTTCCACTGGAAATGCCTTTTGGTTAAACTGTCAGCAAGGAATTTGCATTTGCACTGTTACATTTTTATATAACTTTAATGCACATCAAAAACAGCTGCTTGTTTAAGTGAAAATACATTGATGTTTTTTTTTGTTTTTTTTTTTTTGCACCAATAAAGTTGAGGAGTTGTAAAGTATTTTGTCTAGTGTGAATTATATCGTCAGTTATATCGTTATCGCAAATTTTCAAATGTATATCGTGATAAATATTTTTGGTCATATTGCCCTGCTCTACACTCGACCCTCTCCCTTAAAAGCAGGATCCTAAAAAAACAAACAAAAAACATATTGGTGATGACCACGATGCTGAAAGTGAACATCACAACCCAATGAGTGACATCATTGTGACTACAGTTGTCCCTCATATGGAGTTTTTAAATTGTTTATGTTGACATTTCAAGCTGTTGGTTGGACAGAATGAGCTGAGACATTTTTGTGTGTGTGTTGTTATTTTTTGATAATTTGTGAGTCTCTTTTTTTAAATGATTGGCTGCACATGTAGTTAACCATTTGAGTGTTGTCTATAAAGTTTCTTTTAAACAAAGATCAGTCACAGATTAATGTGTTTAGTGTCATTGGATATTATTGGAATGTTTTGACCTTACAATATAAAGTGCCTTGAGGCCACTTTTGTTGAATTGATTCCCCGGCAACACTGCCTCTCTGCAAAGAAGCCTAATAGGTTTTTGCCATACTTTCTTCCCCTTTCTGTACCTTTTAAGTAATGGACGCTGAAATAAATAAATAACCAAATAACTGCATGGGATGCCAAACACTCCATTTGTGAGCTTTGAGGGATTAGTTAGACATTTGTCTATGTTTGGATGCCAGAGAATATTTGACTATCCTGGGGAAATGCTGTAGGCATGATCAGGCGGTGATGCAGGAGGATAAGAAACTAAAGAAGAAATGAGCTGCAGAACAATCAGAATCAATCCTCATTTCGTGAATTAGTCTGCTCTTCTTACCCAATGAAATGACCTTCATCAGTGCAAATCCAATTTGAGTCGCAAAGATTTTCATTTTCACTCTGACATTGCAGCAGTGGAGAACGAGGCATGGTGGGCTGGCAAAATCCATCTCGGAGGTGTGCGTGCGTGTGTGTTTGAGGGTAATGGAGTATGATTTTTATCCCCGTCCTCATACCTCTGTCACTGTCCCTGTCCCTTTTGTTAATGCCATCAACACTCCCTTCATTTGTCTCCCCACCCCCCGCTCTCTGTCTCTCTCTCTCTCTCTGCTTCTTTAAGTTTCATTTAGCAGTTAGCTCAGGCTAACAAGGTCAGTAGACTGAAATGGAGAATATCAACTTGAGCATTTGTAGTTTAATCTCAGTTGTTTGTTAGAAAGACCTGGACCATGCTGTCCTTTACCTCAAATACACCCAGAGATTCTGTTCCTTTGTAGGAATTGGTACTTTGTCTGAGAAGATGGTCTAAAATGAGCAAACTTACCATTCATCAGTTGCAGTTAAAACAATAAATAAAAGCACAAAGCTAACAGGACAATAAATATAATTTTCACAGGTCTGACAAATGCTGTTAACAACTTTGCCAAAATCAAATGTAACTTAAAGTTTATGAAATCATGATTTAATTTAAACATAATTGTTGTGGTATCATCAATCTGATTTACTCTGACAGCAGTCAAATGGGTACAGAGATTTTATATTCTGGCAAATGTACATGTTGAGCCCAGTACTTTACTTATGGTATTGCATTTTCTTGCTGCTTCTGGCCTGTTAAGGTCACTTTAGTCGATGCCGGTCAATATTAATTCAGTAGAGCTGCTCTGTGGCGGAGGGCTGAAGTCTGTACTGTGCAAATCCAATTTGCCATTTCCATTTCTATTGTGATTTTCTTTTATTGAAAAGAAATAAAGTTTAATGTTGACATGCGTAGGAAGGTAATTACAGGCATTCAGAGTGGTGGAATTTCCGTTCTCGTCTTTAAACACTACAGCAGTGTTTCGCAAACCCGGCTGGAGAAATTTGTGGCCACCATCACACTGGTCGATGTTCAGCTTGCACTTCACAGTGTGGGTGAACAGGTAATCAAAAAGAGTCTGTATGGGGTCCTGGTACTAGCAGATGGTCTGCAGACTTTCTCTGTGTGTGTGTGTGTGTTTGTGTCTGTTCAATATAAAGTAATGACATTTTTAAAGTAAATAGACTGTGCTGTCTGCACATGAGACTGGGACCCACGCTCTGGACAGATTGTTTTTAGTGTGCTACAACACTGAATTACGTTGACAAGGCGAAGACGGACCCACATTACAAAAGCAAAGAGGATCTTCGGTGGTGCTGGCTATCCACTTCATCCATTTTAAAAGGTTGACCGAGTCAGGTAAAGCATGAGATACTTAGTGATTGATCTGGAAATGGATCAGAATATATTTTTGTTTATTTTGTGGTTATTATTAAGAAATTGAGGTATTTTTGTCCCCCCTTTCTTGTAATTTATCCTCACTATACAGGGAGTGCAGAATTATTAGGCAAATTAGTATTTTGTCCACATCACCCTCTTCATGCATGTTGTCTTACTCGAAGCTGTATAGGCTCGAAAGCCTACTACCAATTAAGCGTATTAGGTGATGTGCATCTCTGTAATGAGAAGGGGTGTGGTCTAATGACATCAACACCCTATATCAGGTGTGCATAATTATTAGGCAAC